ACTGTGAATGTGCCTCGTTTGATAGGACAGGACAAGTGCACCAAGAAGACAGAGCAGCTGAAAGCCCACTAAAGCACCAAAGTAAGCATATTGATGATCGGATTCACAGCGCCCAACACTCACTGTGGCAAAGCCGTCTACCTCTTCAATGACTTCTCGTGTCCATTGGATGGGAGAATCAATCTGCCAAGCAGTCAGAATTGCCAGCTGGATAATCAGGATAATGCCCACTAGGCCAGAGACTTCTTTTAGACCCACCGCCCTTTGGGATCCAGTTGACTTGCCCATTTGTTTCTTGCGTCCAGCTCTTGAAACCAGCATGATCCGGAGTAGCTTGGCAAGCAAAGGTCCATAGGCAACAGCAAAGCCAACCCCGTATAGCCAGGGTGTGGCCATACAAGCTGCATTCACCATGTCAGATGCCACCTCAGCTTGGACTCCCAGGAAGACAATCGAGAGACTTGAGATCCAGCAACCAAAAATGACCAAAACCAGGAGTAGGGGTTGACTGATGCGCACCAAAACATTTGCCTTGTGGCTCCACAACCAAGAGGCCATGACGAGGCATACAAAGGTAATGGTACCAAAAAGTGTATACCCCACAATAAGCAGTTCCTGTGAAATGTAATTGAGTTCTTCATTGGGGATACACTCGGTTTGTCCACTTCGTCCTTTGGTTGTGCTGCCTACTGGACATGACGAACAAAACCCGGCTACGTTGTTGTCTCTTGTGCTGTACGTGTCAATAGGGCACAGCTCACAAGCACTCAGCAAGATAGAACTTTGAGTTTTGAGTGCTGTGTGATTGAGAAAGCTGCCCTGTACACATTCCGTGGCACTTGGGGATGGCAACACAATCGAAGTTTGTGCTTGCAGCAGGGGAGATACCAGGGCATTGGCAAAAACAGCATCGCTTTGATTGTTGAATGCTGGTTCTTTCTTTCGCCTTCCACCAGAAAATTCACCCTTTTCAAAGGGTAACCACTGCGTCCCAGCGGCACCTCTTCCCACATTGCGTTGGTTCTGGTCAAAGGCAACCTTGCCAAAGATTGTGTCTGCCGTCAGAACCATCATGTCTCGTCTGAGCCGTTCACGACCCTCAGCCGTGGCAAAATCTTCCAATGGATTTGGATGAGTGGTAACTTTGTAGGCATTTTGTAGGTGCTTTGCATAGAGATAGGGGATGGTGTAGCCCACTAGCTGATCGTACGTGCCATTGTATCCATACTCTTGGTAGGTGTGTTGGAGTAGTTCCGTGCCACTGTCAAAAAATTCATCACCATAGTCCAAGGCAGGATGCCATTGTCCACCTCCATGGAGATAAGGGAGCAATTCAGGATTCCGAGCTGCCCAGGTCCAAGTGGCCGCTGTCAGCCACATGCTCGTTGGACGGCATTGATTTTGTCTCCATCTATCGAACAATACGTCATGCTCCGTGACGGTGCACACAAACAAGGCAGGATGAAAATCAGGTGGATGATCCGGAGGACAAGCTTTATCAGCAATTTCACCCAGGGTGATGGCGTCAAGCTCATTTTCTATGCCATCTCCGTTGTCGTCTCCAGTGGGATCAAATTCCATGATTTCAATGTTGGTAAATCCACTTTTTTGTAGTGCTCGAATGGCAGATTGACAGGTGCTCCGAAAGAACTCAGATTCTTGTCGATAAATTACACGAACAGGGATATCCCTTGATGGATTATTCTGGGCTGCCCAAAAGTCCAATGCCTGCACATTGGGCAAGGGGTATGTATCAGAGTTGATGTGGATTCCAAAGACAAACGGATTGCTGTTGGAAGGATGGTAGAAGGAGGGAGGCCCGACTTGTGCCATGAGAATGGCTTCCAAATCCCGAGCCACTGGTTTTTCAATGGAAGCCACAAACGAGCAAGAACCCACTATGTATGGCGCTTGAAGCTCCTCGACCAGTCCTCTCAAAATATATTGATGTCGTCCCTCGTACCCAGCAGCACGCGAAGATCCAGCGGTCACACTGACAAGGTGGAACTTGACGAAATGGTCTTGGGCAAAGCCAATCGGGACACCACGCCCAGCATTAATGACTTTGACACCAGTGACTGCTCCATCACGGCCAGTACCACAGGAGGTTGGTGTTACATGTACCAGAGGGATTATTGTAGTGTTCTCGGAAGGTTCAGGTTTGATATTGGCAATAACACAGGGAGAAACTTCAATGGCTTCTTCTGTAGGCAACTTTGTCAATTCGTAGGTAGAATGGCTGCAGCTGGGGAGAGACGCCAACAGTGGAGTAGTGGTGCCGGATGCGCTGGACGACGATGCCATTACCACCAACCCCATGAGCAACAGCAAGAACAAACTTCTTTGGGCACTACTAGTGATATCCATTGGTACCTGTTTCTGTCTCCCCATCAGTACTAGTACGTATACTTTCCGATTGCGAGGTGAATGTGACAGGGTGCAAAGCACTCGATGTTGTGCCGAGAATGATGAAAATCGAACGCGGAGGGTGGTCCATTTTCGCACCTCGTTGGGCTTGAGGTGAGCTCGAAGAAGGCTCCGACGCAAGTATTGAGACTGGTGAAGTCTTCAAGTCTTCAATCATCCAAGAATTAGGAGGCAAGATTCTCCTTCCGAACCGGCTCGCTCTACAAAGTCCGATCTGGCAGTACGTTTAAACGTGGTACGTGGTGGCTGTGCTGTACTTCAAAAGAGACACATGGCTCTCGTAGAATCGTACAAGAATTAAAGGGAAGACCTCCCCCGAACTGGCAAACTCGCGGCTTCTCAACTTACAGCTTTTTGATTGTTTATTCCGTAATTCTCGGAATTCCTGTGTAATTCCTAGAGAGTTAAAGCAACAAGGGAACGTAATTTCATTTATTATCAATGAGTACTCCACAAGTTGGCATGGACATACGAAGGAGAAATGATCGATATGTCCTAATGGTCAACCTGCAGAAAGAGTCGAAATAGTTAATAATAATTTGCAATAAATTAATGTGTGGTCATTTGTCTAAAGAAGCTTGGTACCGGTACCAGTACCGGTGGCTCTCCCCTAAGTCAAAAACCACACAGCCCGTCAAAAGGTTGGGAGCAGCAAGAATCTTGGGACAACTAGGCGGGACAACCAAATTCCACTCCCTCAAAACGCTATTGCAACATTGCAACCTCTTTAGCCTGTATGTTACAATGGCGCCGGAAACATATCTGAAGGTCTCAAAGCAAGGGTAGAAGTAGAGAGCTCTGAAGGTCTGAAAGGAGCCTTTTGGCTGCTGTTGCCTCCACTGTTATCTCGCAAAGTCGAGAACTCTCTTCTCGTTTCTTCGAGCGTTGGACGACAAGGGGACGACGTTGGCTGCTCATGGAGTGAGTCAACTGTCGACTCTGAGGTTGCGGCTGGAGGGAGATACCGGTATCAACAGGATGAGCACCGGCGGAAGCGAGTTTTGGTGGCGCTGGGTCTTGTTGCTCTAGCTTGCGGCGAATGGAAAGGTCATATTCTGACATCTCGACGCTTCACGATGGGCGAGGTGTCGTCTACCGTGCGCGTTCGTTTGAGGCGTTTGAGCTCAGCTACTTGGAAGAACGAAGGACGACAACTTGGATATCTCGGATCTTCCGTACCGCACTCGCTCCTCGCCGCTCCACGAGACGAGAACGAGGACGATGGCACCTCAAGCCGCTCGTGGTGTCGGATTGCTGTTGTTCGTGGTGTCGACTGTGCAGCGAAATTGCATGAGAACACTTTGAGGCCGCTGGTCGCAACAGCAACATGAAACCAACAACAACAACAATTCGTGCTTTTTGGAGTGCAAAGAACTCGGCTACTTGGTACTACGTTACAGGAAGCTACTAGCTTGCTAGACACAGCGAACCGCGGTCTTCTACGATGTTTCAAAGAGGCCGTCGTACGTCCTACATCTACATGATGTGCATTCACCTGTGGCCTATCTTCCGCCACCCACAACAATGTACATGTACCAGTTATCCAGGACACTTCTAGCTAGAGCTTGCTCGTGGCTCCTTATTCTTTGTCTAGTACCAGTAGCTAGGTACCATGGTAGTGGCAGTGCTGCCGTAGCTACTGTAGCTACCGCTGCCGTAGCTACCGCTCTGTTGGTCGCAAAGAATTTTTTTAATAGAATATATATATTTTGTAGCCGTCTCCGTATTGGAGCCAGCTGGTCAAACGGTGCAAAGATGAGGCAGGACAAGAAGCCAACCCACCACGAACCTCGTCGGAGGACCTATTGGGCAGTCAGTGCGGCGCCGCCCATGGTAGCTTCAAATCTGCCCAACGCCAATTCGTCCCAGCCATCGGAACGCCACCCTTTGTTCTCGGTTGTGTTGCGTTTTGCTGCGTTGCGAACGCCTTCACCAATTGTGACGGTAGAACACTAAGCAGTACTGTCCATGTCCGGTGACTCTACCTTCCTTTGGTTTATCCAGTACTCCAAATTGTCTTCAACTATGGGGGCAACCCTTTCTTTGACTTGTGGTATAATTCCACCCAACACTTCGTAGGCGGGTAAGATGACAAACTTGACAAACCCAATTTGCGAATCTGCCTTGAGGGTGGTGTGGCGGTTACAGTTGGGTGAGATTGGCAGCCCGAGACGCTCTTCTTGGTCTCCTTGCACAAAGAATTCATCCATGACCCGATCGGTCCAAAGGATCGAAAGAGGCCGGGGCTTTGCCTGGCCTGAAATGTCTGCCATGTGCAGTATGTACATGAGCACATCCCAACGCGTTTCTTCATCACTGAGATAATCATCTTTCATCATATCTCCCTTGATATCACTGACAGTCTTAAAATGCAAAGACATGTCAGTGTGCAACACTGCATTGATCACCTTGTTTCGAATCTTGGCAACCTTGGAACGATCAATCTTACAAAGGATGTTGAGATCAGCCTTGCTGTCAAACATCTTCACAAAGGCATGGGAAACGTGCTTATTCTCCAGAATTGAGCTGTCATTGTAGATCAGAGCCAAATCCGTCCTTGCATTGGCCTGAAAGGCGTTGCTTGAGCCAGGATGCTGCACATCATGCACAACAGCAGCAAGAAGTATTGAGAAGATCTCAAGGTTGCTCGCATGCAGTTCTTCTCCAGACATTTGCAGCAAAGCATGAAGAGATTGGACAACATCGGCAGCATGAGTTTCATTGTGGTATGGGTTCACACTGATGTAGTCCTCTTGAATCACCCGAAGGTAGTCACAAAGAGTATGCAGAGGGATCTTGAGATCTGAATCAATAAAGTTGTACCCCTCAAAGGAATCAAGGTCAACATCTTCGCCACATGCTCTAGCCATGGCATACTGAGAATGAGGAGAACCCAACACAGCCCAGCCAACAAACAACAAAGGGTTCCCATCTGTGAGATGACATAAATCAAAAACGTTGAAATCCCATCTCTTGAGTGCATGCCAGGAAAGCATTTTTGACACTTGGGTTTTGATAGCTTGGGATGCGAGAGCCTCGAATTCTGGAAGAAGGTAGACACCACTAGAGGACCCACCAGCAGGTTCTTCCATTGCCTCAATCTCACTAGACACGGATCGCCTTGTTACATCAATCCCTCCATATTCTTGCAAGAGAAACATATTTGACTGCTTCTTGACAGAAAAACGAGCAGTTGTCAAGGAAAACCGAGCCAGACCTCCAGGCAAATGCATCAGTTTGTTTTGTTTCTTTTCCCTGTCACCACTCAAAAGAACATGCTTCACCTTTGCCCAGTC